GATATACGTCTCATGTTGAGCGCTCGGTTATACTCTTGTAAGTCTTTAACGTGGAAGCGATAATCAAGTTTTTGAATATCTAAAACAAAAAAACGTACAAATTAATCGATTTAGTTTCGTAGGATGGGCAGGATCAAAGCTCAAATTTGGAGTAAATGGCAAGGAAGACTATATTAATCTTATATCAACCGAAGAATGGCCTACTAGCATAATGAATATACCAATAACAATCGAAAAACCGAAGCTTATTCCCAATTGTTTTGCATTAGTCATCAAATACGTACCACGCGGTATGGATTATGAATTTGTAAAAGAAGAAATATCACGATCAATCGCATCAATCGTAAATCTAAAGAGGATTCATTATTCATATAATCGAAAAACAGATGATTATCGCTTCCACGTTAAAGACTTACAAGAGTATAACCGAGCGCTCAACATGAGACGTATATCTATTGGCAATGTTATGATATCAATTACACGATTTTTAGAAAGCAACAAATTAACGTACTGTAATCGCTGCTGGTGTTTAGGACATATGAGAAATAAATGTCTAGCTACAACGGCTCGCTGCCGAATATGTCTACAAGAAATTACTGATATTCAAAAACATAACTGCTCTCAACAGCCAATATGTGTTCAATGTGATGGTAATCACCATTCACTTAGTAGTCAATGTGAACCTATAAAAGCATATAAAATACAACTAAAAGAAGAAGTCGATAACGCACTCGCGCGTGTTGTAATACAAAGATCAGAACCAACTAAACAAGTATCAATTTTCAATCCAGACGACTTTCCGCCTCTGTCTCATCCCAATCGAAATAACATACCGGTCTGGGGATCAAAAAAATTACCAAAGCATCAAACAACAGCTGAATATACAGAGACAACAGGTGTCCTTACAGCACTAAATAATCAATTGTCAATTATGACTGAAACAAATATTCGAATGGAGAAAAAGTTTGAAGAAATGGATTTGCATAGGAAACACGATGCAGAAGTCTTAGAGCTACTACAGAAGACTATGAAAAATACGCTATATTCAATACGTGAGGTAATGGAGATTATGGTGAATCCTCTGTGTGAGTTAGCGAAAATACAAGGAAAAAGAAAACATCTACCTTTTACAAGTATTCTGGAAGAGTTACAAGCTGGTACAAGTAATAGATTATCGAAGCAAGTTCTCTACGTGCAAAAAGAAGGCCAAACAAGCAAAGATAGAATCTCATCAGCTGGCCAAGCAATACAATTACTCAATGAAAGTGATTTCAACTCTCAAGCCAATAGCTAAGGTTTTTTTCCCTTTATCTCTCCACACGAAAGACGCAAAAAGAAAGACGCAATCATTATCTTCAGTTTTACAGCAGTGGGAAGAGTATAACAATAAGTATCTACCGTCTGAAAAAGTCCCTCTGAACATTCTCTGCTACAATGTGGAAGGCTGGGGTACACGTCATTTGGAAGTAATAGATCTAGTCTATAAAGTAGATGCTTCAATTAGTGTCTTAACAGAAGTTGGAGAATTATGGAATAAGTTTTCTATACCTAATTTTAATACATTTCATCAACAAGATACAAACAGAAGTGGTGGCGTATGTGTCTCTGTAGGAAAACATTTAAGAGCTGCTCAAGTTCAAATAGAAATCGAAAACACTGTAATCGTAGATGTTTTTAATCTCTCAGATCATATTCGAATCATTGGAATATTATTGGCCTCAGGGTCAAGAGCGCGACCTCGATGATTTAAATTCGTATATAAAGCAAGAAACAATTATAACAGGAGATTTTAATGCGTCATTAGAATAATGGAATAGTCCAGCGTCGGATAAACGCGGTAAAATTTTGAAAGAATGGATTGAAAAAAATAATCTTACATACATTCCTTCTTCGTCACCCTCATCAAAACGTTCTCTGAGAAATATCGATCTTACTTTCTCAAAATATTGACGGAATAGACGCCGAAACAATTTTTTTTGGTACCAGTGATCATTGGCCTATTGTATTGACATGTGAAAACATAGGTTATGGAATCAGAAATTTTTTCCATCACGTCAAATGGCATATTTTTGAAGGAATGCTGGCACTTCTTCAAGATTTTTGGATTACAGAGCAAATTATAACATCAGTAGATGAGTGGTATAAAAACTACACTCGATTCCTCGCGGCATTAAAAAACAGAGTGACTGTATGGAAGGAAAAAGAAAAATACAGACCATCGCTACCACCTCTCATAATAGATAAGCTGAAGAAGCTTAGAAGAATAAGAAATAAATACCAAGAGAGGGAAAAAGTGGCTGTCAAAATGAAGAGACACGTGTTCTGTTAAGAGTGATGAATCGTGAAGTAGGGAGAGAAATTACCATGCATAAATCGTCTTGTTGGCAATCCTTCTTGACAACAATTAAAGAGAAATCCGATCGACCAGAAAAAGCTTTTTGGTCTCACTTGTCTCGTGTATACAAATCCAAAAGCTTGCCTTTTTCAAAGATAGATAGTGGACAGTCGACAATATCAGACAAAAAGGAAATAGTTAACACACTTTTCTCATATTATGAAAACCAGTTTCAAAAAACAGAAACAAATAAAGATGATCCAAATGACACAAAAATTGAAGAGGAATATGGATTATTACTGAACGAATTAAGCATTTCAGAGGAAAAATTAGAACAAACTAGCGCTTTCGAAATAACAAAATATATCAAAAAGCTTAAGCCAAAAAAGTCATCAGGTTTTGACCAAATTTCGAACTAAATGATCAAATTGCTCCCACCGAGTTACATTATATGTTTGACAAATTGTTTTAATGTGTGGCTTAAAGAGGGTAGATATCAAGAGCAGTGGAAATTAGCTAAAATAGTAACATTAAATAAATTAAAAGCAGGAGTTCCGCAATGCGACCAAACGAGACCGATTTCGCTACCTGCAACACATTCAAAACTCTTCGAAAAAGTGATATTGGAAAAAGTACGATATTGGGCAGAAACGAATCAATTAATTCCATCTGAACAGTCAGGTTTTCGTCCCGGATGTCTTCTCCCCATTAGAGTACTCTCTATATATCAAGAAGTAGATAATAAAATGGCAGCCAAGATACCAACTCTCGCCATATATGTGGACTATCAGAAAGCCTATGGCAAAGTCTGGCATGCAGCACTGTTAGTTAAACTGAATTGCTTAGGTATGCCTATCGGCTTGCTCAAAGTCATCGCATCATGGTTGATGGATAGAGAAGCCTATGTTGTCTTCGGAGAGCAAAGCTCAAATAAATTTAAAATCTTCTCGGGTCTTCCACAAGGTAGTAGCTTAAGTCCTTATCTTTTTATTGTTTTTCGCAGTGATCTGACCACATGTTTTGGAGCACGCTCGGCGCATCTCTGTGCAGATGACCTTAATGTACTCATTAGACGTTCGATATAAAAAAAATTGGCATCCATGATAGAATATCTAGAGAAAGAAGGGACTAAAGTATGCAATCAGATCTCGGCATACTCACGGAAATGGAAACAACCGATAAATGTTAGTAAAACAGTAGCACAAATTTTTTCCTCACAAGTTACAATACCACAAATAAATATCACTATTGACGGACATACGATCGAAGTAGTTAAATCCTTTAAATATTTGGGTTTTACCTGGACAAGTAAATTGTCCGTGAAACCAACTATCGATAAATGTGTGGATAACAAACAGAAATCGTTCATAAAAATGAAATGGTTAAGAGCAGGAGATACATTACCCACAGCAGTGTTAAGAACATGTTTCTTTGCTTATAGTTTCCTACATTTCGCTTGGCTGTTTCCACTATTACCCAAAACTCAAAAAGAAATCCTGAGGCGCAAATTCCGGGTAGGAATGAGACTAATACATCGATGTCAATATACATCGGATCATATGCTGTTTGAAAGATTAAAAGAAAACAATCTAGATTTTTATGTAAAAAAATACATAAGGAAAAGGCTAAAGCAAATGCATAAATCTGACTTGGGAAAGTCTTTCTTTTACAACGATATATTTTACTGGGACGAGTTTAAAAAAAGAAAAGGAGACCATCTAGGTCATCTATTCCGAATGAAACGAGTGAAAAATTTAAAAGAGAGACATGAAGTTTTTTTAATAAAATGGATTGAATATATAAACTAGTACACAGACATGTGATGATTGTGTCTTTCATATATATCTGCAATCTTTTTAATATTTCAGCTTACCTTTCTTTCGTCTTTTTCGTTTCCTTTTTGTGTTCCCTTTTCTCTTTTCTCTTTCTTTGTTTTTCTCCCCCATATCACAACACTTTCACTTTAGTTTTCTCCTTTTTCTTTCTCCTTTTTTTTGTACTGCTTCTCTTCTTTCTTTTTTGTTTGTTCTCTTTTCTCAAGTACTTCCCTCTATATGATACGAGTTCATAGCAGTTTTCTCAAACCAAGTTAACTGGCATCTCTATATCTCTGCTTAAAACTATACTTCATGCTGCTATGGAAACTTGAAAGTCCCCATGTAAGCGCTCCCGAGCGTCACACTAAATAACATATTAAAAAAGAAAATTCTCTGCTAGACTGGAAGAAAAGAGAAAAAAGTTACCGTCGTCAGTTCTTTTTTGTATTATATTCTACTTATAAAGAAATAAAAAAAAGAAAGAGAAAAACAATATCAAATTTTAGCCTTATTCTATAATCACATCGTCATGTCTTCACTCGCAATCATTTACGTATTATTGACCGAGTTTTTTGCAATACCTGATATTCAACAATTTGACGCAGAAATGTTGAAAAAGGAAGTGATTGAATAAGAAAGAAATGGGAAAACGAAGTCTAAAACCAAAAGCGTCGAATATATTCTCTCGATATTTTTCTACATCTGACTTTGTCTTTCATTTCAATCATTTTCTCTTTCAATCATTTTTAGTCCACTGTATCGAATTGATCTTTTTTTTTCTAGGTATATTCGTAATTGTTGCTTACATCTCCAATACTACGAACTATTTGATTCTCAGATGGCTTGGAAGTGTAAGTTTTCACTTGTAGAATACTATACCATTTTGAATTGTCTTTCATATCAGACTCCATTTTCGACTGGTTCTCGGATTTTAAACTTTGCTGTTACAGTTTTTGGTGCACACCATGTCTGTATGCAGAGAATGCAGAAAAAATTGACGGAAGCAACAAATGTGACCAATGTCTTATTTACTGTTGTGCGTCGCAGTGTTGTCTCTGTTGCTTGGTACACATGAAGAAGCGACGTAAACTTCGACAACTGTTTCGATTAAAAGAGGATCCTGAATGTGGAGATTGCTTGGCAACGACATTCTGTTGTGATTGCGCTATAGTTCAAGAGACTCGAGAACTAAGAGATCGTGGAATTACACAAGGTTTGTACATTCACTAGTCCATAGAAAGATTACGAATAAGACAAGCATTTCCAGTTCAGCATTTATGTTCAGCTTTGACTCTGAGCTGCATGCCGTTTTCTTACAGATTTTTCTCTATCAATTTCGCGTTTACCCAATGAAGCAAGCATTTTTGACAACGTACTGGAATTCTCTAACTGCAGCGCCGTCATGAGCTTTTTCATGATAGCTCAAAATCAAAGAGATTCCTTCATAATAAAATATATGTGGAGACGCTTACAAGGACAAATTTTAGCGATAGAAAGTGTGCAAATTATGTTCCATAATACTTTGATGCCTTTTCCAGATTTGTCTTTTTAAGTGTCGTCATGTATATTTTATTATGAGCGTAGGTTTTTTTTGTGTTTTCTTTATGAATTCGACAGCAATTGAATCGGGAATGCAATCAGGACGTTAAAACGCGCTGGTAGAATTTGTCATCTGCTTGGATATTCAGAAAAACAGAGATTATCAGTGTGATGAGAATGTTCTTCTACTGATTTTTTATAATTCCATGCAACAAATCAAAGCAACAAGACTTGAAAACATCCATCATAATGCAATATTGCCCATTCATTACTTCTACAAGTTAATCAACATTAACAAAACTATACTTGAGTTAAGAGATCCTAAAAGATGTCGATTATCTCGTTAGAAATTTCATTAGACTATTGATTTCTGATGACTCAATCTTAGTAGTGGATATTGTTCAATCGTATGTTCAGTTCGACACACTCTTTTGATGTGCATGTTATTCGAAGTTCGAGGAATTGCTTGTTTTTAGGAATGAGATGAAATGCTACCTGCTGTTTCACTCAATCATCGAAATGTTGCTCAACATCTACAGCTTTTTTCTTTAATTTTAGTGTCACACACTGTCTCAATAAAGCCTCGCTTGCTTTCGCCAGCGC